GACCCAAGAGGCCCCCTAGAGGGTTTGAAGACAGCCCAAGAGGGCCTCAGACTGCCCCAGAAAGCCCCGAGACTGCCCACAAGAAGCGCAAGATGCCCCCGGAAGGCTCCCAAGAGAGACCCACAGAAGCCATGGGATACTTCCAAAAAGGCCACTGGAGGCCCGTAAGAAGGCCTTAAATGGCTTCAGAAGACCTCTGGAGGGCCCCGGCACCCCAAGACGGCCCAAGAAGCCCCCAGGACTGGCCAAGAGTGCCCCAGGACGGCCCAAAAGAGGCCCAAAAACAACCAGACGGCGTTCTCCGACGAAATACAGCAAGCTGACCAGACGATCTTCGTTCCACGCTTGCGGCTCGAGGTTTCAGTAGTTCCCCGATCGAGAGAGACAGGCAATGGATCTAGATTCGAAATTCGACGATCGAAGATTTCCTGAGTGTCTGGAACCCTCCAGGCACTCAGGAAGCGACCAACAATCTATGTGTTCGGAGCTACTGTGACTTCTTCGGCGTGTCATGGGAACGCTCCTTACTTCATCAAAGAACCTTCACGCGTGAAACAATCAGCATTATTTCCCCACTCCTGCGCACAAGCGTGCAAGCGCATCGTCCGAAAGCGGTGTCAGCAGGCACCTCGCCCGTCCAGGCCTCGAGGTCCCCCCTGCTGAAGCAAGCGATGATTTATTGCTTTGCCAGGGAAGCGTCCGAAACAAGACTGCATTGGCGCGAAGCGCCAATGCAGTCTTTATATATATATATATATATATATATATATATATATATATATATATATATGTATACTCCTATTCTTATATTTTTATTACCCGGACCCCCCCCCCCCCCTCCGGACCCCCCCCCCTTAAACCGGATCCTTCCCCCAGGGACGCTCCGGACGCCCTTTCGGACGTTTCGGCGGCCCCCTGGACGCCCTTGGAAAAGGTTCGGTGGCCCTTCCGAGCCTCCCAGGGCGCCTCGCTGGGTCCTTGCGAGCCGACTGAAGGCGATTAGAGGGGTCGTCGGAGAGGCGCAAGAGAGACCCAAGACAGCACAAGAGCGCTCCAATAGGAACCTCGATGGTCTGAAGACGGCCCAAGAGGCCCCCAAGACACCCCAAGAGGCCGTTAAGATAGCCCCGAAGAAGCCAAAATCGTCACATTCCCTCAGGCAATACATTTGTTGTGCATATCCGCTTTTTGGGTCTTCGCAGCGTCCAAGACGGCCCAATGGGCCCCCAATCTCGCCCCAAGACGGCCCGGGAGGCCCCCTAGAGGGGTTGAAGGCGGCCCAAGGGGGCCCCAAGACTGCCCAAGAGAGCCCCGAGACTGCCCACAAGAAGCCCAAGATGCCCCCAAAGGCTCCCAAGAGAGACCCACGAAAGCCATGGGATACCTCCAAGAACGCCACTGGAGGCCCGCAAGAGGGCCTTAGATGGCTTCAGAAGACCTCTGGAGGGCCCCAGCTCCCCAAGACGGCCCAAGAAGCCCCCAGGACGGCCCAAGAGGCCCCAGGACGGCACAAAAGAGCACCAAAAACGACAAGACGGCGTTCTCCTACGAAATACATCAAGCTGACCCGACGATCTTCGTTCCACGTTTGAGGCTCGGGGTTTCAGTAGCTACCCGATCGAGAGAGACAGGCAATGGATCTAGATTCGAAATTCGACGATCGCAGATTTCCTGAGTGCCTGGGGCCCTCCAGGCATTCGGGAAACGATCAAAAATCGATGTGTTCGGAGCTACTGTGACTTCTTCGGCGTGTCATGGGAACGCTCCTTACTTCCTCAAAGGACCTTCGCGAGCGAAAAAATCAACATGATTTCCCCACTCCTGCGCACAAGCGTGCCAGCACATCGTCCAAAAGCTGTGTCAGCAGGCACCCAGGATATTGGAAAAATGGGCGGGTCGCCCGTCCAGGCCTCGAGGTCCTCCCTGCTGAAGAAAGCGATGATTTATTGATTTGAAAGGAAACGTCCGGAACAAGGCGCATGGCGCGAAGCGCCAATTCAGTCTTGTATATTCCTCTTCATATATGTTTATAAGCCCGCGCGGGGGGAAAACCCATCCCCCCCCCCCAAAACTGGACTCCCGAGATCTGGGGCTTTGGGACCTTCCGAACGGGCCTCGAAGCGGCCCCCTGGGCCTCGCGAGGCGGTTTGCCAAGCCTTTGCAGCACGCCTGGGGCGATCAGGGGGGCCCTCGGAGACGTCCCAGAGACCCCCAAGACAACACAAGAGCGCTCCAAGAAGCCGTCATACCCCCAAAGATCGCCCCCAAACGTTCCAAGAGGCCTCCAAGAGCACCCCCAAGAAGGCCCCAAGAGGGAAAAATCATTGATTTGACGTAGGTTTTAGGTGAATTTGGGGCTCTCCAATTTTCGGCTTCCCGACGCTCCAAGACGGCGGTCTTCTGGGCGTCCGAAGCCGCCTGGGAGGCTCCAAAATCGCCCCACAACCATCCGAAGGGGTTTCCAGGCAGTCCAAGAGAGCCCCAAAACGGCACAGCAGGGGTCCAAGATGGCCCTCAGAGAGCACCATGGCGGCCCAAGATGGCCCCAAGACACCCTCCGAAGCATTCCAAATCGTGACTGGGGCGTTCAGGGAGACCGCGATTAGAGGCAGATTGGCCTGAGGAAGCCCCAGAGGCCTCCAGAACACACCCAGGAGGCCTCCAAAAGGCTTTAAAAAAGCCTGAGAACTTTGGTGAGGCCCCCAGAGGCTCTCCAAGGAGAAGCCTCCGCAAAAAGAGCTGAGGAGGACGGGGAGCATGCCCAGGGTATGGCGAGAATGACGAAAAACTAAACATGGAGAGAGGATAACGAACAACATTATTATAACGGCGATGCCAGAAAAGGCAGCAAGGACCTTCCTGCCATTTCCGCCTGCATACCAAACTTCAAGGACCAAGGTGCATGGCGCGAAGCGCCACTGCAGTCTTGTCTATATATATATATATATATAGATTGATGCCCCCAGGGGCCTCGAACATATCCATATCCACCGCCTGCCGAGGTTCCCGAAGATCGATCCCCCAGGCGGTGTTTATGGATAACTCCCTGCCTCGGAGTTAGCGAATCCGCTCACGCAGCTGGTGTTTATGGCACATCCTGGCACCAGCGGCGCGCACGTATGAAGCAAGCGCCTGGCGGCGGAGGTAAAAACCATGTGCATGCAACATAGTTCGTAACCACCACTTGTTGCGTATCACCCCCCCGTTCCTCCGACAACGCCCCAGAACTCTCGGACCCTTCTGAGGGCCAAGTTTTCGTCCCGGATAGCTTTTGATTCCCACTCTGATTGCCTTGGGGTTCGACGCGGGCCTCAGCAGCCCAGGACGCTGCGATCGAAGAAGAACTCGAACAGTGACCTTCTTCCTCCTCCCGGAGTCCTCCCTCCTCCTGCTCCTCCTCTTGCTCCTCTTCCTCCTCCTCCTCCTCCTCCTCCTCCTTCTCCTCCTCCTCCTCCTCCTGCTCCTCCTCCTCATCCTCCTCCTCCGCCTCCTCCACCTCCATCTTCTTCTTCCTCCTCCTTCTCCTCCTCCTCCTCCTGCTCCTCCTCCTCCTCCCTCTCCCTCAATGGCAGGCGAAATCTGTCCGCTCGCCCCCCGGCAGCGCGGCCCCGACGCCGTGACCCGGCGCTGTCGCCGCGCCTCCTCTCTCCTCCGCCGTCGCCGCCGCCGCCGCAGCCGCCGCCCCAGCCCCCCAGACGCCCCCAGAGGCCTGGACGCGCCAACCGGGGACTGGCTTGCCACCACCAGCTTTCTGCTGCTCCCATCGTACTTGAGGACCACGTCCCAGAAATAACTTCGAGCACCCGGAAAAGTGTCGAAAGAGTGCCGAAAAAGTGTCGAAGCAGTGTCGGGCGAGTGTCCCCCAGGGCCCGTTACGTGAAAACCCTCGAGTTTCGGTACTTTGTTTGGTGCTCGAAATTCTTTCTGGTGGTGAAGGCTAAAGTAGGTTGGAGCATCATAGCACCAGCCGCCTTCTTGGGCGGCCCCGGGGCCCCCCTGGAGGGGCACGGAGGGACCCCCGAGGGGCCGATCATCGCCAAAGTGAGCGCTTGCTTCTTCGGCGTTTCGAGACTGGGCGGATAAGGGGAAGGGGGGAGGGGAGGGGGAGGGGGGTGGTGCTCCGGCTATCTGCTTAATGCGGCTGTTTGCGACAGTGCGTCCTACGGGGGGAGACGCCACCTGCTCGAAACAGGCGCCAAAAACAGCCGAGATCTACTCCACGGGGACGAAGGGGGTGTGCGAGGGCCCGCGCCGATCGGCAAAACATTGAATCAGAGAAGGCTTACAAAAGCCTCCCGTCAGTTCTTTTGTTTCAGCGCGCAAGGGTCTTGAGCAGGGACCGACCGTCCTGGCATTCCTATAGTCCTACCACGGAATTTTCTTAGAACCCACAAATGTTCTAAGAAGAAAAACAGTGTTCCTAGAACACAGACCCGACGTGCTCAAACAAGACAGACTCCGCCAGGAATGTTCTAAAGACATTTTGTTGAAACCCCAAAAGGTTCTTAGAACATTGTTTGGTAGGGCTGTAGTGAAGGGGCCCTGGGACACACAAATAAATACACCAAATAAAAAGATTCCCCAATATTTTCCCCTATTTCCTGGGTTCCTGTCTTCCCTCCACTTCCCATAATATTTTCCCATGTCTTCCTGGGAATCGACGATTCATTGTGTCTGTGTGTTGTTTCCCCTCCTGATATAGGCGAGCCAGGACGCTTCTCGGGGAGACGTAAGACTCGGGTACGGGGGACTCGGGTTGGCCTGACGGGGCCATCATAAAAATGACGAGACCCAATAATTATGAAATTTGACGCGACCTCCCGCCGCAGACATCCGACGAAAACCGGCCCGTCAAAATCCAGGACGCGCTCGTCAAAAAACGTCGGCAAACCCGAGTTCCGGCTTACTCGAGTCTGACGTTTCCCCGGGCTTCGCCACTGCTTGAGGCGCTGGGATCGTCGTCGCCGCGGTCGCTGGCCGAAGCCGCCGGCGGCCGTGTCCGGCGGCGGCCATGCCGATGCCCTCGGGGAGCCACGGCTCCACGCGCGCGCCTCGCGCGGCGGCGGCCAGGGGGTCCTCTCGGCATCGCGGGCGCTGCCGAGGGGCGAGGACGGCCCTCGAGGGCCGCGGAGGCTCCGACGAGGACAGTGTCGAGGAGGACCCGCGGAGGGCCGAGGAGCACCGAGGAGCGAGGAGGATCGAGCAGGATTCTCGAGGGGCGAGGGCCGAGGGGGAGGCCGAGGAGGTCCGTGGAGGGCCGACGAAGGTCGAGGAGGAGCGCGGAGGGTCGAGGCGCATGGAGGAGGGCCGACGGAGGATCGAGGGCCCGACTCCGGAGGATCGAGAGGGAGACGTCAGGTGGCCCCCCCCAAAGCCCTGGGCGATTCGAAAAAGCGACCCTCAAGCATCGGCCCTGGGACGGGACCGAGGGCTCTGGGACCCGACGCCGCGACGAGAGGGTGCCGGAAGGCGCGGCGCGTGAGCCGTGGTGTGCGGTGCCCCCCTCTCACGAGGGATCGCGCGTCAGCCGCTGCTCATGCCGAAACGGCCGCGGCAGGCTGACGAGAACGGCCCTCTCTGGGCGCCCTCCCCCCTCCGTGCCGGGCCTGTGTTGACTGTACATCCTCCGGCCATCTGCGAAGGAGGAGGAGGAGGGGGATGAGGAGGAGGAGGAGCAGGAGGAGGAGGAGGAGGAGGACGAGGAGCGAGGAGCGAGGAGGAGAAGGAGGAGCGAGGAGCGAGGATGAGAACCCACTTGAGGTGCCGACCCCCGGGCGGCGGCGCCCCCGAGCGCCACCCAGCACCATGAAGACGCTCAGGCGTGCCGCCGCCGATGAGTGAGTGCGTGGGTCCTCGGTGGCGGTGCTCTCTGGTCCACACTCCTTCGCGACGAGTCGAAGGAGAGCAACATTGCACAAGGTGATCGATCGGAGGTCTGCACTGAAATCTTCGATCGGTTCTCCCCTCTCCCTGGCACGTGGAACGCGCCAGCGACTGCGCCAGAGGCGCCACCAGGGGGGACTCAGCGCCGATTCCGGCAAACAGCGCGGAGTTCCGAACATGTGTGTTCATGTTTTTTCGCACTCGGGCAAGGGAGTCCAATTCCTGATGGTCCCCGATGGCGCGCACCAGAGGTCGAAGCCAAGGAAAAGTCGCCTAGGGAGCCGGGGCCCTCCAGACCACAGAGAATTCAGCCGCAGCGGCATCGGCACCTGCTCCGCCTCTGCGCAGTCGTCGTCCACTGCGGCGCGATGGCGGCGGCCGCCCCGCCTCAAGGAAGCACCCCAGCGCCGCGTCTTCTCGGGAGCGGCAAAGAGGGGGGCGTCAAAGAGGGGGGGGTGCAAATCATGACCGGCGGCATGTGCGCGGCCCAGCGAGGGGGCCAGGGACGTAATGAAACAAGAAGAGGCGCCATGAAATCTGGGGAGATATCGTGGCCCGCGCCATGAAATCCACCCCCCCCCCTAGTCATCACCCCCCTCTTTTCCGCCCCCGATCTTCTGCTCACGGCGTGGGTCCCCGCAAGCCTGGGCCCCGTGCCCCGGAGCAGCGTTGCCTCCTCTGAGCCGTGCGTTGGCGGTCCCGAGAGGCCCGAGGAGGGCCCCCGGAGGCCCGACAACGCGTAGAGGAGCGGGCAGCGGCAGGCGACCAGCATCTCGCGGAGCTCCGCGGGGATTGCTCGGAGCGGCGCCAGGGGCGCGCCAGGGTGAAGGGGCCCCAGGACACACAAATAAATACACACAAATAAACAGATTCCCCGTATTTTCCAATAGTTTCTGGGCTTCTGTCTTCCCCCCCACTTCCCATACTTTCCCATATTTTCTGGGGACTCGAAGATTACTTGTGTCTGTGTGTTTCTTCCCCTCCTGACAGGGGCGGCGCCGGAGGCGCGGGGGGCCAGAGACCGGCGGAGCGACGCGCTGTCCAGGGTGTCCCGACCGTGCAGGCCGGCCAGGGCGCCGCGCCACTGCTCGACGTCTGTGGGGCGCACGGAGACATACTGCAGTCGGGGCGTTGACCCACGGAACCCCTGACTCCAGATCCCTCCCCTCCTCCCTCCTCTCCTCCCTCCCCTCCTCCCTCCCCTCCCTCCCTCCCTCCTCTCCTCCCTCCTCTCGTCCCTTCCTCCCGGCGCCGCCGCCGCCGCCCTTCTCCGTCCTCTCCTCCCCTCCTCCCCGCCCTTCTTCTCCGTCCTCTCCTCCCTGACTCCGGATCCGCCCTACTTTGGCTTTTTTCCCAACTTAAAACTGCGTCGGACATCCACCTATAAGAGGCCGAAAAAGTAGGGCGGAAATTGCTGCACCCAACATCAAATAGGGCGGAAATCCACAGAAACAGCAACAGGAAGGTAGGGCGGAAATTGGCATCAGCGGGGCTTGAAAAGTAAGGCGGAAATTCCAAGCCCCACTTACGAATTTCCCCAAAGTAGGGCGGATCTGGAGTCAGGGACCCCAAAATAAGGAACGATGCCCCTTTTAACCACAAGTTGAACTTCGACTGCCTGTCGAAAACATGAGGGAAGCCTGAGGCAAGCTGTGAAACACTTAAGGCACGCGAAGCCCCTCCCCAACGAAAAGGGTTCCTTCTTCAGGGGCCCGACTGTAATACTATTTGTTTTCCTTGGAGGCGCGCGTCCAAGCCGAACATATAGCACACCCAACTTGTAGTGTATCGTTTCCCGAGCGGTGTGGCCAGAAAGCGCCCGCCACGACGCATGTACAAAAAGATTTCTCGGTGCGCGCGCCGCCCCTGGGGGGGCGACGCACATATAGTATGAGCATGTTGGGGTGACACCGATTCTGTTTGGACGCTCGAGATGGATACGGAAAAAACGGAAAAACTGGCACGATGTCCAACAGCAAATGCTGTCCAAGACCGACTGCGGGAATGGACAGCACGGCCGCGGCGGCACCGACAGCGAGCCCCGTGCGAAAGGAGCCAGATATGCTGCGGGTCTTCGTGCACCCCCATCTTGCCCAAGAACCCCGCCTGCGGGAGGTGGTGTTCCGGGCTACCCCGTCGCGTACCATTCTGAACTTAGCCCCTGGAAGCCACAGTGCTGGTTTGCTGCCAGGCCGAGGGCCGCAAGTCTTGACGCTATCACTACCCACTTCGATCGTCACAATATTGTTCCCCAATCAACGCTTGCATTGAAAGGGTCCTAATGAAATTAGCGGAAATTGGAAGATTCGGCGAAAATGTCCCGCCGATTTTGGTGGCTGGCTGGGTTCCCGTGTTCCCGGTTCCGGGTTCCCGGCTATGGTTTTTGATTCCGGGCCGATTTCTGTGGGCTCTGGGCTCCCGGGCTCCCGGTCGATCCACTGATTGGGGTTTTTCTGGTGTAATGAGAAGACGAAAAAATAGCATAAACATGAATTTCTGGCGCTCCACGCGGATTTCTTGGACCTGCGCTGGACCCCCTCCCCGGCGCGCGGAGCGCGCCGCCAGGGGCGGCGCCGGAGGCGCCGCCCGTGGGGGGGGGGGGGGGCAGGCGCCGATCCAAGAAATCCCCGCGGAGCGCCAACAGTTTCCGTTCATGTTCTTTTCCTTCTTCGAAAGCCGAGGGGCGCAACGCTTTAACATTATCGCTACCCCCTTCGAATTGGACGCCCGGGACGGATACGGAAAAATGGGTACGATGCCCAACAACAAGCGCTGTCCCAAACCGACAGCGGCCGCTGCTGGGCAGGCGGCCTCATGCCTCGCGTGGGCAAGTCCGTGGCGTCGCGGACAGCGTGCCCTGCTCAAAAGTGAAGAGGAACTGCTGCTTGTGTAGGGGAACAAAAAGTGGCATTAACATAAAAACTCGGAAGGCCGCGCGGATTTCTCGGATCGGCGCTGGGACCCCCCGGTGGCGCGCTCCGCGCGCCAGGGAGAGGGGGTCCAGCGCCGATCCGAGAAATCCGCGCGGACTTCCGAGTTTTTGTGTTTATGCCACTTTTTGCTCCCCTGTGGTGGGCATCGTGCCCACCCTCTCCGTGATTGCCCTGTTCGATCGTCCCGATCCGATGGTCCCGATGCTGCTGCTGGCGGCGTCTCTGGCGGCTCCGGCGGCCGCGGCCCCCGGGGGGCCCCCCTCCTGCAGCGCACGGGGCGCGGGGCGCGCCGGCGGCGCGCCGGCGGGGGCCGTGCCGCCCTCGGCGTCGCGGCGGCCCGCGAGCAGGGACCTGTCGTGGGGCGGAGACGATGGCGTGGCGAACGGCCTCTTGTAGTCGGCGTTTCGACATCGGGCGGAAGGTATAGGGGAACGAACAGCGACAAAAACGTCCCAACTCGGACGTCCGCGCGGATTCCTCGGATATCTGCGCTGGACCCCCGCGGCGGCGCCTCTGGCGTTGCCCCTGGCGCGCTCCGCGCGCCAAGGAAGGGGGTCCAGCGCCGATCCGAGAAATCCGCGCGGACCTCCGAGTTTTTATGTTTATGTCTGAAGGGGCCCTGGGACACACAAATGAATACACACAAATAACAGGATCCCCCATAGTTTTCCCATATTTTCTAGGTTTTTGTCTTCCCCCCCACTTCCCGTATTTTCCTATATTTTCCTGGGAGGGAGCGATGAACTGTGTCGGTGGGTTTTTTTCCCTCCTGAATGTCATTGTTTGTTCCCCAAGCAAGGGGGGGGGAGGGGAGGGGGGTTCTGGCTCCGGCCCTCTGCTTAACGCGACGGTTTGCAGCAGTGCGTCTTACCGGGGAGGCTCCACCTGCCTGGAACATACCTACCTACCTACCTCTACCGTGCACTGCGCAGTGCATTGGCTATATGCGGGCTGCTGAGCTTCTCACGTGCTGCTTCCACACTGTCTGTGAGGCGGAGACTCTGTCCCACCCCGCGTATCCCCCAGCTTCCTGTCGCATCATCAAACGCAGCTGTTCCACCCAATTCTGTCGAGGCCTGCCGCGGCGTCTCACCCAGACTGCAGTCTCTGGGGTGGTGCCGGGGGGGGTGCGAGGGCCCGCGCCGATCGGCAAAACAATGAAATAAGAGAAGGATCACGCGATGAGGTGGGCTCGGG